AATCAACTCTCTGAATGCATTTCAAATACCAAGCCGACTCTCATACTCAAAAGTGTAGCATAATTTTTTTTATTTAATTATTTTTTTTTTTTTTTTGCTTTTTAGTTTTGCTCCGCATTATTTGTTGAGCTGTCCAAAATGCATACTTAAATTAAATGAAAGCCTTTAGAGCTGTTATATTATATAATGATCATTAATAATAAAATGTAATATTCAAATTAACAATAATTTCAATTAAATGAACCCAGATTATGTAACGGGATGGGAAAATATGTATGTCAATTTTGTTTCTCTCTTCCGACTTTAATTCTCTACAATCTACAGTTGGTATTGCTTTTGTTGTCACTCGGCGAGGCCACATAGAGTTTTTTGGTAGGCATTATGTCAGTATTCTGTTGGGTTTCAAACATTCTTTTTGTACGCATTTGAAAATTTTCAACTTTTTTCATCATGAGTTTAAAAAATTTTAGTAACTCGACGGCTTTTTTTAAAGATCTTCCCAGAATATGTTTAAAAAGGGTACCGACTCGTCGCATGGTTAGCTCCAAAGTCCATGCAGCACATGCGAAGAAGGAGTCGTACTGGGTACAGAAGACCATGAAGCCAGTGGATAAGGAGCAGGTCCGGCCACAAAAATCAGATGTCGGGAGTAGGGCAAAACCTCGTCTAGGGTTTCCGAGCTTTAGTGTGCCAAACAGACCAGATGGTATAGTCCCAAATTTTGGTAATACGCGACTTGATACGCGCTTATACAAGCCTAGTAAGAGTTTAGATCGGGCATTCCAATCCAACTGGGTGGACTGTGCCCCAAGAAGAAAGACCATCAAACATATTCAGATGATACCACCAGAGATCAAACGTCGCGTTAAGACACCCAGGCCGTACTGTCCCCCCGATACTCCCGACCAGCTATCCACAGAAACCGAGGGCCCCGAGTCCGAGGGCCTGAAGGGCACAGTTGAGGACAGAGCAGTGCAGAAAGCCAGCAAGAGGCCGCGAACCCGCTATCCGAGTTTCTCAGAGTGTACTGCGGCATGGAAGTCAGCATCCTCGGATAGTCTCCATCCGCGATCCGTTTGCGATGTGTGGCGCTACTACCAAAATTTATATCGGTGAATACAGAAGGTCAAGCAACGTAGGCCACATGTTAGACAAGTTTATAATTGACGTGATCCAGACTAAAAAAACAAATCGTTTTGTTTATCATATTTAATACCAAATTGTCAATAATCCATAATGAGTTGTACAGAGAAAATATAATATATTAAAGTCGTGTATGTATATTATAAACAGTGTCTATAAGTATAAGTATTTATATAAATATTTTATATAATACATATATTGAATACTCATTGCTGAGTTTATAACTCATAATTATTAATTTGTTCATTGCAAATTGCAAAGAAACAAGGGGCTAAAAGTTATTATTAATTATATAAATAAATATTTTGCTATATTAAATCCGAAAAAAGGCTGAAGATTTTTGCTAGTTTCCTATGAACCATCCCATTCTATGGATGATATGTCGGACGAGGGCAACAAATCATTTTCTGTCTCAGTTATAGGGCTTTTTAATTGTATTTGTGGCCTTGAAAGATCAACTGAGGTATGATTTCTTCAAATAGGGCATTTGACAATTATTTGTTTGTATTGACCTTAATGCCCTGATTCCGACTAATTTGTATTATATTATATCTATTATAGTAAATTGGCTTCCATTATGCATTCGATGCTGGACAAGATGTTTTGCGAATGGGGATAGTAGCAGAGCTTGCCCTGGTGGGGCGTAAGTGAGGGGATTTGCAAGAATGTTACGCAGTTCTCTTGCTGTTTATATGCCCTCACTCATTGTAAATACATAAAAGTAGCTTTGAATGGGGCTCATTGCAGATACTTTGAAGTATTTGCCATAATTTGTGATCTCTTGCAATGACTTCATATATGTATGTACTTCTGTTTATATATGTATTTAATTCGATTGCTAGTGCATTTAGCTAGGCTTCCTTGGGCGCAGCTTATAGCTTGGCTGTCTACTCAATTCGAGTGCAATCTGAAGTTGATGTTAATGCTGCCAGTGTTGGTTAATGCCAAGTCGAAAGGGATGCCGCACCGAGCATAGAGCTGCAGCTACTTTGCTTTGTGGCGCGCCTCTCGAAATGGCGAAGTGTACTTCTGCGCCTGGTGGCATTCCTAAAAGGGATTTGCATGCCGCTGAGATGTTTATCGCAAATTGTTGCCCTCAACGTCGACGTCGACGTCGACGTTGTCGTTGTCGTTGTCGTTGTCCTTGTCCCCGCCGACTGTCGTCTGGACGAACACAAATGTCAACAGCACAAAGCGCTGACGTTTACATTGAAAGTCACTTTGGGTGCCAGACAACAGCAGGAGCCGCAGGAGCAGCTGATGCCTTTGCTGCTGTTGCTCCTTGGGGCCTGGCTAATGAAAAGCGCCAACAGAAATGCAATGCATTTTATTTCCATTTAATTTTTTTATTTTCTGCAGCTTTTCACATAAATGCAAATGTTTGGCCAGGCCATGTTTAATTGCCAGAGATCTGGCATTGACGGCCTGCCGACTGCCTCCTCGGCTGGGAATCCTGCGTGTCCTGAACCTCACTTGCAGATTTGCCAAAACATGTGTCCTTGTTGCTGYTGCTGTTGTTGTTGTTGTTGGTGGTGCTGCTGCTGTTCAGTTGCTCGGTTGTTGGGCAAAAGTATGCCCCAGAGTGACATTTCGCACAAATGAAATGTATGGCTGAAAACTTGTCTATTTGGGCCCAAACAAATAATTTTATTATAAAACTTTTTTATGCATGTTTGCCTGGCTGCTTCGCCCCCATCCCCATGCCCCAGCTAACTGAGCTGGGTGCTCCGTGTCACATGACTCACCACCTAAACAAAATGAGGCTTTACGACAGCAATGGGCCACTGATGCAGAGAGCTCTGTGAGTCGCATACGGACCTCAGCCACCCGCCTGGCCAGTAGCACGATATGTGCAAAGAGCTAACCACAAATGTGCGAGCTCCACAATGTGTGCTCTCTTTTAGGGGTGGGCGAAAGGATGTTTATCCTGAAATGCGCTCTATTAGCTTTAGTAAAATATTTTTGTAAATGTTCTTTTAACAAAATATAATTGTAGGATTCAGATTAGATTTCATGTGGCAATTAATACGTTGCTTAAAACACTATGCTCGAACGATATAAAACTCCTCAATTTATCAAACTGATCTATACTAATAATAATA